CCCCAAAACCCCAAAACCCCAAAACCCCAAAACCCCTTAATCCAACTCATACATTGAAAGTTATTTGATTAACAGCCTGCCAAGATCTTTCATTAAAGGAAGCACGAAAGAGGAATGTCCTTCTGCAAATTTAACCCATGCATTCTTGTACCAGACTTTATTTATTTCTCCTCCAAAAAATGATCCCCAGTACTTTTGATAGTTGAGAAGTTGTGATTCCTCTTCTTGCTTCATTTGCTCATGATTGAGCTCTTCCATGATTGTAATCCCCTTCCAATTTTCATGAAGATCTGACAGAGCTGCATCTGTAATAAAATGGTCTCCAAAGAAAGCTACATTGATCTCTTCTTTTCCAACAAGTTTCCTAAAGTTTTTAAAGCAGAGTTACTTGAAATAGTTTTCGAGATCTTTTCAGTTCCCTTCAAGATATATGTGTGTATCCTCTATTTTTGTTAGATTCTATAGTACCAAGGTCATCAACTTCACATTTCTTGCCCTTCAAAGTTGGAGAGTTATAGTCACATCTATAAAATTTTTGAGTGTCCTCGATTTTGTCAAAGAATGCTGGTTTCCCACAATTGCTGGCGATAAAATCTAAAAGTAGCTCAAAACTTTACCAAAGAAAGATTTCCAGTCCTCTCCTATAGATCTGGTCATTATTAGGTCTGTATACTCAGCATGAGAATTAGTAGCAATGAATAATTTTTTATCAAGTTCCTTTAGCTGCTTCAATATATCTCTGAAATCTTCTCTCTTCTGAATATATTTGTCTGTATTTCGAACAACTTCTGGGAAAAAGTATCCAAAATCAGCTATCTAAAGATAAGTTAGCTATATACTCTATATCATCTCTCTTCATTATAATTTGCATAACAGCTCGTTACACAAGTTATGATGTCATTAATTATCTCCTCATTTGTCTTATTTATTGCACCTTGAAGTTTGAGCTCCATTAATTTAGCACAGAGAGTGACACTGGAGGTGTCAAAGTAAGTATGAAATCCGATATAGCCTTTGTCTAAGCTCCTGTAGTTCCATACGTCATATTCTTTATGAAAGATTCTATCTTTTCCATAAATATTCTCAATTTCATTTTCTATATATAAATTAAGGAAGCAACAAACCATTTAGTTTAGTGAATCCTTTATAAGCCACCATTACTCTCTTGTCTTCAGATATTTTGACTAGAAGGCTGGTGTTCATATCGAATGTAGCTCCATTAAAAGGGAAATGACTAAGCTCTTCATCAAACATATCTGAGATATTATGCGGATATCCGTCACAATCCTTTACAATCGTTTTTAAATGGCAATCATCAATCATTTTGGCTAAAATGTTAGATAGTGTGCATACATAGGGCAACCACATTATACTTCACAAGGGTATGATCTGCGTCAAATCCGACCACATCAAACGGCTCCAGCTGGGAAATGTCAGTTAGCAAGTTACTTGCAGTTCTATAAGTTTAAAAATATTAATTTTACACATATGTGGGGGTATGATCTTCCATACTTAAATTAATAACTAAATTAGGGGTTTTGGGGTTTTGGGGTTTTGGGGTTTTGGGG